TCACAACTTCAAAGACCTGGCAAGAAAAGGCAGGGATGTTGCAGAGACAAGAGTAGCCGAGAGGCAGAATCAGCCACTCAGCTATGGGTGACAGGGCAGTGGGTAGACAAATATGAGAGACCCAGGAGTGGGGAAATAGGGACCACGGGGGCCAAGGCTTGAGGGAGGACTGGGAAGAGTTGGTGGGCAGACTGAGTGAGATCCAGGGGTGGGACCCTGGACTCAGGGCCCAGGGCAGCAGGAGAAGGAGTCGCAGAGGCCGAGGAGGGCTGGGGAGAGGGTCTTGACAAACCTTGCCCATGTTGAGGGGCTTGTGGGACCTGCTGCCCACAGCATACAGAGCAGTGTCCACAGCTCCCAGGGCCACCAGGGCTGGAGAATCTGTGAGCAGGTGGAGCTTGACAGCCTCCCCAGGACGATACTCCTTGCGGCCATCCACTTTCAGCTCCAGCTGGCAGAGGCGGGCGTGGGGGGGGCAGTCAGACTGGGGAGAGCTTTTCCTTCTCTCTTAACTCGACACACCCCCAAAGCCATAGCTCCCAATGCCTTACCTTGCCCTCGCAGTCCCCGGCCTGGACGTCCACTCGCAGGGAGTTGGCCACCGGGAGACCCCCATGATAGTAGTAGGCCACCAAGTAAAAGGCAGGTGCCAGGTGATGATCCACAAACACGGACACGGAGGTCACGCTCCTCCTGGGCACTTGATTCACAGACACAATCTGGCCCCGGGACAGGATCTGGGGAAGAGTGGCTCCCTGTTCACTGCACATCCCCAGCTCTGAAACAGCTCCCCATCCTAGGGCTCTTTCCTGCCTGAGACCCTCCCTGCCCCCTGCCCCTCTCTGCAACCCAGCTCATGCACACCATGTAGTAGTAACGAGAGAAGCTGGCCCCACTGCCGCCCACAGCTCGCAGGTTTAGGTTGACAGTGTCCCCAACACGAGGGGGCTGATGATCCAGTCGCTCAATGGACAGAAAGCCGGCAGTTCCTGAGCGTGGGGCTCTGACAGTGAGCTTGGCTGTGGCTGGATGGGGGGAGCCTGCAGACACCTGGAGGGAGGGGTGGGGTGGGGTGCGGCAGGGTCAGTGGCAAGGACCCAGGCACCCAGTTTCTGCCCCCAGCCTGGGCCAGGGGTACTCAGGAGCCCAGCCTGCCCTTCCTTCCCTCCCCAAGCTCTCCCGCGAGTCGGGATCCTACCAAGAGCTGCACTTCTGAGATGGTTGGAGGGACAATGATGGGAATGATGACTCGGCCACTCCCATCTGTGTTTTGTTGAATGTTACGTGTTTCAGGAGCAGACCCAGGAGAAGACAACGTGGCAGAGACTTTGACAGGAATGCCAGACGCTGGGGAGCCCGACATGTCTCGGGCCAGGGCCTAGGTGAGGGGGGGAGGGGCAAGGAGAAGAGGGTGGTCAGAGAGGCTTTGGGCCCTCCAGACCACCCTCCCCCCAACTCCCTGTCCACATCCAGAAGAAACCTGCAGCGTAAAGGGGGCCCCAGGCACGAGGTGTCGCTTGGTGTGGCTAAGATCCAAGGAGAAGGGAGATGACACAAAATGCCAAGATGTGAGCTCTGCCTCCTCCATCTCTCCCCCTGCAAGACATGGGGTGGAAAGAGGTGGAGGAGGAAGACCCAGGAAGAGGAACAGGAGAGCTCGGGGAAGCAGCTCAAATGCTTCCCGCCCACCAGACAGTGCGCTCCTCAGGGCACAGGCCACCTCCCACTCATCTCTGTTTCCTGAGGCCAACATGGGACCCAGCACACAGATGGTGTGTCACATGTGTGTGCTGGATGGATGGATAGATGGATGGATGGATGGATGGATGGATGGATGGATAGATGGATGGATGGATGGATGGATGGATGAATGGATGGATGGATGGATGGATGGATGGATGGATGGATGAACGGACAGGTGAAAAAAAATAAACCGAGACAGGGGGAAGGTACCGCTTCCCCAGAAACCACCCAGAAGCACAGTTGAAGAGAGACAGTCTTCTGGGTCTTTCCTGGCTTTGGGTCCCAGATGAGGGTAAGAAGGGTGGGGAGTAGTGTCAGTGCTGGAGAACAGAGGGTCAGCTCTGAGGTCAGAGGCGAGGGTCTGGGGTTATAATCAGGGAAGTCACTCACCTGGAGACTCAATGATGGCTGCAGCCACATAGAGGCGTAGCCCTGGGAGGTCAGTAAGATGAATATTTTTGTTAAGCTTCTCCAGGGCACCCAGAAACTCAGCCTTGGAGAGGGAAATATGGCACTGGCCATCTACTAGCTAGGGCAAAGAAGAAAGCAGGACCTGGGGTGAGACTTGAGTCTCCCCCTCACCTCCTCTCCTCCCTCGCCCCCCTCACCTCCTCTTCTCCCTCGTCCTCCTCACCTCCCCCATACGCCTTCCACACTCCTTCCTACCTTGGTCTGACTCTCCAGCCCCCGAAGGAAAGTCTTGTCACCATTCTCATCCAGGAGCCCAAAGCGCACATAGGCCACCCCCTGCACTGGCTTCCCGTAAATGTACCTGCAACCATGGAGAGATTGGGAAGAGTGTGAGCCAAGGGCTGGAGGAAATCATGCGGTGGTCTGGGGGGGTGGGGCTGGGTGACGGAGGGAAGCAGCACATCTGTACTGAGTGGGGAGCCCTGGAAGCAGGGCCCAGAGTTACCTGGCCTGGATGTCTAACTGGATTTCACCAAGAATGCCAACTGCTGTCAGGATGTAGGGGTTTCCAGGGATGATCTTCACCTCAAAGTTGGGAAGGACTGACCCAGGGCAAAGGGGTAGGCTGGTCAGACTGTGGTAAAGGGAACCTTTAAACACTCCCCTCCCCTCAGGACAGTGGCACCCACATCTCCCTGCCCCTGTCCTGCCCCCACCACCTCTCCTTCTAGCCCTCACTGCTTTCAGGAAAGGAGGTGCTTGTCCCTCATGTCTCCGGCTCTCACCATATTTCTTCACTTCAAACTGGGTGCTGCTGTTGGATTCCAGGCTGTCTGAGAATCGGGCTGAGATCTTCCAAGTGCCTGGCCTGAGGAGAGACGAGGGAGGGGCTCAGCTGTGTGCTGTGCAGCTGGGTGAGAGGGCCTCGCAGAGCCAGCAGCTGGCTCCCCGGGAAGAGGACAGGAATCGGGGTTGTGTCGCTGGGGGCAATCCCCAGGCGGGGAGGCTCACTCTGAGATATCTGGGATCACAAAGTCATCCTGGTAGATGGATGAGGCAGCATACACCTCCCTCTTCCGCACACGGAGGCCATGAGAGTTCTGCGGTGGGAGGAAAATTGGTCATGGGTGGGCAGTCAGGTCAGCGGCCCTCACTGATCAGGAAGGCCAGAAGTCGGGGGCTCACCTCCACCGTGACTGTGAGGGTGTCAGTGGATGGGCGCATCTTTTGATCCAGAGCAAAGACCCGGTACCGAACTGGAAGTGGGAGGCGAGAGAGGTGAGTGGGGGTCCATGTGCAAGGAGGTCCACCCCGTGGGGCCCACCATGAGCCCCCCACCCCTTCCAGGGAGGGAGGAAGAGAACAAACACTTGCTGGGAGGGAATTAAAAGTGGAGGCCCTGGGGCTGACACTCACCCCGCTGGCCAGGGTTGTAAACCGGCTGGTCAGACTGCAGAAAGAGGTGCCCCCGGCGAGAGGAGAAAAGCAGGTTCACGCCCTGAGTGTCCACCTCTTTGGCCAGAGAGCTCTTCAGCCATGGTGACTGCGCCACCAGCTGGACCTCGGGGCCTCTGAGGAGGTTTCTAAGGCCACAGCTCTGTGCATCTTCCGGGAGTATCTGTCAGGCAAGAGAAAGGGAGCAGGTCAGAGACAGAGCAGAAGGAAAGAGCCAGAGAGACAGACAGAAACAGGGAAGGAAGCCTTTGGGTGGGAGGAGGGAGGGGCAGAGGCAGGTGAGAAGACTGGTTACAGAGGACAGAGGGGGACAGAATGTGGCGCTAGGCAGCAGCAGGAGGGAGGGGCGCTTACCTGGAGGCTGCGGAGAACGAAGTCTTTTTCTGAGGTGAGGATGAAGTCCACCTTTGGGGAGCAGGGGACGGTAAGTTTGTATGGGTTTCTCAGGAACACCGATCCTTTCACTACCTGTCCCGGGGGGGCATCCTGGAGCTGCAGCCCCACTGACAGGGGAACTCCCAGGTGAACCACAGCCGGAGAGAACAGGAGAAGCCTGGGGAGAACATGCAAGGGTCAGCCATCGGCCTCGGCTTCCACCCAGCTCCTAAATCGGCCTCTCCCCACCCTGACCGCCCCCACGTCTGCTCTCCCACCACCAGCCTGCCCGGCTCCATCACCACAGCCCCCTGCCTCCAGGACCTGGGCTTCTGCAGAGACAAAGCAAAGAAGCTGGATGCCCAGATCAGCCCCCAGAGGAGCCTCATGGCTGGAGGAGCGAAGAAGGATCAGACCCGTGGATCTGTCGGCTCCGTTCTGGTCAGCCCCCAGCTTGGAGCAGAGTTGTCTCTGGACTTTGCCCCTCCCCTGGCCCAGTGGAGCCGGGAAAGCACGTGACAGACAAGAAATGCAACTGGCCCCAGGCCCAGTGTTGGGGGGTGAGGGCGGGGGGGGGGCACTCCGGACACCTGGGTCTCTGAGGGAATCTGAGGGAATCATGGCCCATAGGTAGATCCTGTGCTTCCCTATTAACCTGTCACCCCAGGCCCTGGGCACCTCCTGTCTGGGCCTATCTGGGTGCATAAATGTGTACACACATGCTGTGTGTGGGTGTAGCACATGGTTGCTGACAAGGGGCTTATTTGTTAAGGCCCTAACAAAACAAGATACTGAGACACTGGTCTTTTACTGTAACCCCCAGAAAAACTAACTACAATAGGCCTTGGCTTTTTGCAGGCCATGACAGAAATTCCGTGGTTTAGGAGCTCAGGCACACCCTTATCAGTCCACAGGCAGAGCCGGCTTCAAACGTCCCCTTTTCAGGCCCAAGTGTGCTTCACCTCTATCCCAAATGAGGCCCCACACATCACATTAGACAAAAGACACCCAGAAAATAGCACTGGCAAAAGTACTTTATTTGGCAGTTTCAACCCAACATGTAGTGAAGAGTGCCCTGCCCTCCCTCACCGGCTCCCCGGAAACCACACCTTCCTGTCCCAAGACAGTTAACGGCAGCGCCTTGCTGCACGATAGGCAGCAGCCATGGCCTTGGCAGTTTCTGGCTCCATTTCCATGGAAGGGCGGAGAAGTATTGCCCAAACCCCACCACTGGCTCAGGTCCCAGGTAAACAGCAGCAGTCACGTCTGACCCTTTGTTTGCATGGTCACAAGCCCAACACTCATCCTGGCCCCAAGCTTTCCCAAGGTGACCCTGGGCCCCTCTCACCCCCTCTGGGGAGGCATGCAACAAGTAGAATCCTCACGTCTCTGGCAGGCGCAGGAGGGTTCCAGAAGTGGTGGAGACACTGTGCAAAACAAAGACACGACTGAAGCCAGACACGTAGGCCCAAGGTCTAGGGGGACTCAGAGCTCGGCCAGAGGGGACAGGAGCTGGGCCTCCCTAGTGAATGAAGCAAGAGTGCACCCCACCATGGTCGCTGCTCTGTCACCACCAGAGTTGGGGGCATGGCTCACCAGTCCACCAGCTGGGCCCCAATGAGGTCGTGCACGTGGTAGGCAAGGCCGAGTTGCACCGCGGCAGGTGGCCGCCGGCCCAGAAGCTCCGACAGGAGTAGCTCCCGGTACTTGGCCTTCCGCACCATGCCGAGGACAGCCTGACGCCCTGAAGGAGACATGGCACAGGAGTGGGGAAAGGTGAGGCCTGCAGGCCAGAGCCATCAAAGTGTTTTTGAGGGGCTGGGGCCTTGAGATGCAGTCAGGATACCTTTAACAAAATACTTAATGAATCTCCCAGCTCCGGGCACAGCTAGCCACCAACTCCCAGCATCTCGGACAGTGAGGACTCCGGCGTTCACCAGCTGCCTAAGTGGGGTGGGAAGCCAGGAGAAATGAGGCCTTGGCTCTGAGAATCCTCTTTCCTCCCTACCCGCCAATGTCTCCAGAAACATGGGCACGCAGAGGGGCTGGAGACGACGCCCACTCCCCCCACCTCCTCCGCTCGCTCACAGCAGGCTGCCAGAGCCAGCCCCTGCGATCCGTCAGCCTACCTGACTGCCCTCCCCCACTCCTTCTTTTCCTGCTACTATTACTTGTTCACTAAAACTGCTCTCCAAAGCCCTCCCTGACCACATGCCCTGACACAAGCTCAGTCCCACCCCCAGGGAAGAAATAGGGGTCTTTCTCCTGTGCTCCTGCCAGTGCCTAACACTTCACCAGGGCGTCTCCCATATTTTACTGAAAAGAAGTTCATCAAGCGCTTTCACACACACCGTGGGTTACGAAGTACAGCCTGAGCCAGACACAGCCCCTGGACTGGGATTTTGATTTAGCTCCTGCCTAGTGAGTGGTGTTCTTTTGAACGTGAGTGCTTTAGGGGCATGACAGCTCCCAACATTCTCTATTCTCTTGGTCTCTGTAACATTGGGTTAGCTACCCAGATCTCCTGAATTTTAATCCAGGGCTCTTTCCAAGGCCCCAGGTAAGACAGGCCTCCTCTCTTGGGGGAGGCATACAGATTTAGGTCATTTTACTAAAAAGATGAGTCAGCCTTCTTGGCAGGTTCAGCAAAAGGAAAAGGACAAGGCTACATGGCAGGGAGGCAAGGAGGTGCCGGTGCCTATCTGGTTGGTCCCCCAAGTCTCACGTGATCTCTGTGTCCCTGAAGCCAAAGGTCTGTGTCATCTGGTCCTGCTGGAAGCTAAGGTCCCCACAGGCCGGAAGCACTGAAGACAGAAACTTCTGCACTGCCCCAGCATAGGATCGGCCATCACAGGCCTTGAGGACCTGGAACCAGAGGTGAGAGATGAGGTCGGGCCCCTCCTGCCTCCAGCAACCTCTTTCCCCAGGACAACATGTCTCTGCTCATGGGAGGCAGACTCCCTCCTTTTTAGGTCCTTCCAGCTCTCATGCTTTTCTTCCTCCTCCTCCTCTCCCCTCCCCCATATTACTACTTACCAGAGCCCTGTGCCCTCTGTGAGATGTGGGGCAGAGGAGTTGTCTCTTTTCTTTTGATTTCCTTTCCCCAATTTCCCTGCCTGCCCCTCGCCCCCAACACACAGTAACACGCACTCTGGTCCTGTAGTCCTCAGTGAAGATGATCCCATGGGCATCCAAGTCGAAGCCCAGCTGGATGACTCTGATCTCCCCCTGTTCTTGAAGTGCCTTCTGTCCACAGAAAGACGAGAGTAAAAAGAAGGGTGTCAGGGTGAGATGCTCGGCTACACTCTGGGCACTTTGGGGCAGGGAGATTTTATTTGCCAGCATTGGGGAGTTTTTCTCTAAGTAAAGGAAAAACTGTGGGAAAAGAATCAGGTGGATCACCAAATAGTCTTTTCCAATTAGTCACCCACCCACCCATCTCATCTGTGGTCTGTCAAACAATCAATGTACATTTTCTAAGACCAATCATATGCCAGACACTAAGATAAAATAGTGATTAAGACACGGGCCCTACTCTGAAGGAATTTTGGGTAGGGGAAGGTAGAAGCATATTGGATAAAATATTTAAAACAAATAAAAATCAACCTGGGCCCTGTTTCCAGGAATACATAAAGAATGAACCCACCTGCTGAAAATTAATTAAAATGCTGAATAAAATATTATTTAAAAAATGTTAAGCATTAAAGAGCTCATAAAATAACAAGGAATTACCAGACTAATATAAAATCTAAGTGAACACAGAATTCATACAAGTAATTGGGACATGGAGGACATTTGATGATTTAGGAAAACCTGTCCAGCAGCCAAAAATAACTGGGCACACAAGGAAACAAATTCAAAAGAAACAGACAATAGAAATAGACCCCAAAAGAGATGTTTTCATGGAATTATCAAAAACAGACTATTAAAAAAAAACTATATAATACTAAAATAAATAAAAGTCATGAAAGAAAATTTCAGCAGGAAATTCTAAAAACTGACATAATGGATTTGAAAAAATCCAAGCAGAAATTCTAGAACTGAAAAATTAGGCAAGTGCAATTAAGAACCTGGTGTATGGCATGGGCCAGTGAAGCGACATCCTCCACAACTAGACTGAAGAACAAAAGGACAGCAACTTGTCTGTTCCCCTCCCCCAATTCCCCAATAAAATCTTAAAAAAAAAAAAAAGAACTTGGTGTATGGGTTTAATGAATTAAGGCACAGCTAAATAAAAAGCTACTAATCTGTAAGACAGATAAAAAAAAAAAGATTAACCGGAATAAAGACAGTTAAAAAGACTGAAAATGCAAACAAGAGGCTAAGAGACTTAAAAAGAGAAGGTCCAATGTATGTTTAACTGGAGTCCCAGGAGGAATGAAGAGATAAGGTAGGGGGACTATTTAAAGAGACAATAACAAATCCACAGTCACTGATATATATTAATCCAATTTTCATTAACTCATAGAACAGAAAAAATAATCTGTGAAAAAAGAGAAGACTTCAATAATAACTCATTACTAATAAGTTAATATCTGAATAATGCATATTCTTTTCAAATATACATAGAATATTTAGCAAAACTGGCCACATAGCACAAAGCAAGTCTCAAAAAGTTTCAAATGACTGAAATTATATTGTATATGTTCTCTGGCCACAATATCATTTATGCCAGAAATCAGTAACAAGGTAACAAGAAAATGTTTAGAAATTAAGACATACATCTCTAATTAACCCAATGAATCAAAGAAAAAAATAAAAAAGGAAATTAGAAGATATTTTGAAATGAAATGATAATGAAAATATATACCAAAACTTGGGAGATAGACAGATAAATTTCAATACTAGCAGAAAGTTAACAGGCTGACATGCATCTATTAGAAGATGAGAGGGGGTCAACTATATGGTGATGGAAGGAGAACTGACTCTTGGTGGTGAACACACAATGTGATATGCAGATGATGTATTACAGAATTGTACACTTGAAACCTGTGTAATTTTACTAACCATGTCACCCCAATAAATTTTAATTAAAAAGAAAAAAGAAGAGAGGATTAAAATTAATAATAATAAAAAAAAGTAAAATAAACCCAACAGTAGAGGGGAACAGATTAACAGAAACAGAAAACATGTACACAACAGAGCCACAGTGCTAAACATTAATTCTTTGAAAGGCTATTAACATTGATAAGCTACTGGTGAGACTATCCAAAAAGTTAAGGAGAAACCTAGAAAAAGCACAGATAACCAATATGAAGACTGCAAAAAAGGTCATCACTACAAATTCTACAAATGATAAAATGAGATTGTAAACTTTATACTACTGAATTTGAAAATTTAGATGAAATCAACAAATTCCTAGAAAAATACAATTTCTTCCATGAGAATGGACAAAATAGGGTGATAAGATTCAGGAAACAGAAATCTATAAAAATGAATTAAGTATAGCTACATGCAACTTGGAAGAATCTCAAAAATATTCATCTAATGAAACAAGATATAAATACAGAGTATGATTTTGTTAATATCAAGTTCAAAAAATGGGTAAAAGTAAGCTGTGTTATTTATGGATAAACACATACAAGTAGATAGCATAAAGAAAACCAAAAGAATGATTATAATACCAGTCACATAGTAGTTACCTCCCAGGGACACAAGGCATTTTGATCCAAGAGAGATGTATGTGGTATGGTGGCCATGTTCTACAGTCTGACTTGGGTGGTAGTTAAGTGGGTATTTGCTTTGTAAACATTCTTTAAATTGTGTGTGTACATGTTTATACTTTCTTTTGTGCCAATTTTCAAAGTTTTGTTTTTGTTTTTATTTAGGCTAACACCAGTAGATTAAAAACAACAAATACTGTATGAGGAGTGGTTCCACCTGACTTGTTTCCTCACGAGACTGGAGCCGGTCTCCATCTTCCTATTCTTCCCTCTTCTTCCTGACAGGTTGCTGTATTAACCTTCTACCTGCTAAACCCAATGGATAGATTTGGGATATTTTTCTTGACCTCTTCACAGACCACTACCCTCAATCATGAGTTCTAACATCTCCAACTACTCCACCTTCTTGAAAATTTCTTTCACAATAGGATTCTTCCTGGGTTCCCCCTAACTCTGGCAGTTCCTTCACAGACTCCTTTTCCTTTCCTTTCCTCTTACATTGTGGATTCTTATGGCACATTAAGAATCACTTGGAGGGCCGGCCGAGTGACTCAGCTGGCTAAGAGCTCGCTTGGGAGCACCAGCTCTGAGCAGCAGGGCTGCGGTTCGGATCCCACATCGAGGGCCAGTGACGCTCGCCCTCTACAGCTAAGATGATGAACAACAGCTCGACCTGGAGCTGGGCTGCTGTGAGTCGCCGGTGGCGGCGTAGGCTGCAGAAGGGCTGCAGTGGGCTGCTGTGAGCTACCTGAGTGGCTGGCAGCCAGTGTGAGTGGCCGGCAACAGGTGTGAGCTACCTGGAGCAGCTGTGAGCGGCCAACCAACGACCAGCGACCGATTGCCTCACCCGGGAAGAGCACAATGATCATACTAACATGGGCCAGTGAAGCGACGTCCGTCACAACTAGACTGAAGAACAAAACAGCAATTTGTCTACCTGTCTGTTCCCCTCCCCCCAATTCCCCAATAAAATCTTAAAAAAAAAAAAAAGAATGACTTGGAGGGCCGGCCGAGTGGCTCAGTTGGTTAAGAGCTCACTCAAGAGTGCGAGCTCTGAGCAACAGCGGTTCGAGTCCCAGCCCAAGCTGAGCAGCTGCCAACAGATGGCAGGATGGCTCAGCTAAAAAAAACAAAAACAAAACAATCACTTGGAGTAGTTAAAAAATGTAGGTTCCCAGGTCCTAACCCAAGAGATCTTCAGTCATTAACCTGAATGAGTCCCACGAATGTGTATTTTTAAAGAAGCTGCCCAGGTAATTCTGATACTGGCAGAACTCAGGACATACTCTGAGAAACACTGCCTTAAATGTTGGTATCTCCCAGCTGTGGATTTGGCCCTATTATCTTTAACTGTAAACCTGATGTCCTTAACATTGCGCCTCAGAGGATCTGTGAAACACCTTCACCCCAAAATTGTACATGTACCTTGTATATATATGGCATATATGCATTTTTTTCTGGAAAGAGAGCCATAGCTTTCATTATCTCCTAAAGTTTGTAAAAGTCAAAAATCACTCTTGCTACCCGGCCTCGCCCCACATCCACAGACTGAACCACTCCTCACATCTCGGTAACTTGCAGTTCTACATCCCTGACCCAGAATTCCCATCAAACCCTCATATCCAACTGTCTACTACACATCTGCCTTTGGATGCTCCACAAGCACCTTCAACTCAACTAGTACAAAATTAAACACATCATTTCTGCCCCCCAACAACTCGGTGTGCTCCTACTCTATTCACTCCACAAACCACTCAGTCTGTTCATCCGGAAAATCTGAGTTATCCTGGATTCCTGCCTCTTCCCACTTCCCACATCCCTCACCTTCACCAAGCCTCTCCCCGCTACTACACTGCCCTAATTTAGGCCTTCACCAGTTCTCAGTATCTTCCTAATTAATCGCCCTGCCTCATCTCACTACTTCCAAGCCACCCAACAAATCGTTTCTTCTCCTGTTTAACATACTCGACCAGCTCACCGCCTTCAGTGTAAAACGGAAACGTTGATGCACAAGGCCTGTTGTAATCTGACGTCTGCCTGCGTTCCCAGTGCTGTAGGCTCCAACCATGCCCAATGACTCAGTTTCCCCCAAGCTTCGCTCTTCCACCACCATGATTTGGCATGCTCCCTGCTGCCTTGAGGGTCTTTTAACAGGTCTGTAGCACTCTCCGTGGCACCGCAGTGCCTGGCCCAGAAAGACCTAACGCTTGCTGAATGGCAGAATGGCTGACGGACCGACTGAGGGTCTAAGTGCTGCTTGGGTCCGTGGCTCCGACGCCCCTCACCAGCTGTCGGTCAGCTGCCGTCCGGTCGGGCACAAGGCTGTACACCTGGCTCCTGAGCGCGATGGGCGGCAGCGTGTCTTCGAACAGGCCTCGCGGGAACAGCCGCACCAGTTCCGCGACTGCCGCGCGCGCCGACCCTGGGCGGAGACACCTGGTCACTGGGGTGGGAGGGGCGGACAACTAAGGGGGCGCCGTTCTCCCAATATCTAGGGTGACGGGAGGCGAGGCCACTCGGACTGGGGTCTGGAGCCTCGCCCCGGGGTTGCCATGGTTACCTGCCTCGCCCCTCAAAGGATCTGCCTCTGCATGCCCTAGTTCCCGCCGCCTCTTCAGTCCCAAGGTCTCCGGGACCAGGCGCTGCCTCTTCCGGCTCATGTCCCGCGAACTTGGGGGGCCCGGGAAGGGGTAGGTGTTGAGGAAGAGATCACGAAAAGAGGCTTCCGGCGCGAAGCAGTGACGTCTCGGAGACCAGTCAGCTCAGTGTAATTTGGACGACGCGGTGACGAAAGTGGCGTCCACTCGTCCTCTCTCGGACCCTGGCTGGGAGGGGCGGCGCCGATGTGGATCACAGCTCCTCCCGGGCCGGCTGAGGCCCCGCGGCCAATGCTGTTCGTCTGCCTTCCCTCGAGGAGTTCTCACGGCCCGCCTGGCCGTGCCGCGGGGCGCTGAGGGCTGCGTTGCGATCAAGCCCCAGGTGCAGAGCGCAACCCTCCCCCGCCCCCCCCCACGCCACCCCACGCCCCCAAGGGGTTTGCCTGCCACTGTCGCTGAATGATTGCGTCATCGAGAGCAGAAAACCACTTTTGCATCCCTCTTCGACTTCTGGTGTACGTGTCGTGACGTCATAGCTCTGCGGAGGTGGAAGTAAAGGTTGACAGGCTTAGAGGTACCCAGATCCTTGATCTGAGCCCAAACACCCTTCACCGCCTTGGGAAAATCGGGGAGCGGAGGGAATCAAGGGGAGAGGTTGTGGGTGCACCTGGCCATGGTTCTGTTTGCGGGGCTGGGGCCTGCGTGTTTCAAGGCCATCCCGAGGCTTTCTTAGTTCTGACCCTGGGTCCCCCTTCTCCAGGCCTCCTCTATAAAAGGGGAACTTTCCCCCACCTCTCAGGACCTCATGGAGCCCAGAGGGACCAAGAGAGGAGCTGGGAAGATAGAAGTAGCTGAGCCTCGGAATAAACTGTCCCACCCACCATCCTCACTGCCCACAGACGCTGTCCTCTACTCTGGGCCCTTTCCTTTTTACCGGCGCCCTTCCCAACTGGGCTACTTCTCCCTGGACGCCGAACGCCAGTACCATGGAGATGCCCGAGCTTTGCGCTACTACAGCCCACCCCCAACCAACGGTCAGGGCCCCAACTTTGACCTCAGAGATGGATACCCCAATCGATACCAGCCCCGGGATGAGGAGGTCCGAGAGGGCCTTGACCACCTGCTGCGCTGGCTCCTGGAGCACCGAGGCCAGCTGGAGGGGTGAGCAGAGCAGAGCACACGAGATGGAGAGACTTGCACCTGTCCCTTAAAATTAGGAGAGCCAAAGCTGGAGGGCGTTCAGTCCTTAGAAGGAGCTTGGGCTGTTCTTTGGGGAAGCCATCTGAGCTGATGCTTGTTGTCAGACCTTCAGCCTCTAACTCCTCCCTCTCAGGGGTCCAGGCTGGCTGGCAGGGGCCATAGTAACGTGGCGGGGGCACCTGACAAAACTGCTGACTACACCGTACGAGCAGCAGGACGGCTGGCAGCTGGCGGCCTCCCGGTTCCAGGGGACACTGTACCTGAGTGAGGTAGAAACGCTGGCTGCTCGGGCTCAGAGGCTCGCCCGGCCACCCCTCCTTCGGGAGCTTACGTACATGGGGTACAAGTTCGAGCAGTACATGTGTGCAGGTGAGAGTTGCCCCTGCTCTGTAGCGCCCTCCCCCTTCCCCGGAGGCAGAACCGCTACCCCTGCTGCTGCTTCTCTCCTTGTGCAGACAAACCTGGAGGCTCCCCGGACCCCTCCGGGGAGGTTAATACCAACGTGGCCTTCTGCTCTGTGCTACGCAGCCGCCTGGGAAACCACCCTCTGCTCTTCGCAGGGGAGGTAGACTGCACAGACCCCCAGGCTGCATCCCCACAGCCCCCCACCTGTTATGTGGAGCTCAAGACCTCCAAGGAGATGCACAGCCCTGGCCAATGGAGGAGCTTCTACAGGTTTGGGGGGAGGGACAGGGTGACAGCCTAGAACTGACAGCTGGGAAAGGGATTTGGGGGAAGAGGAGGAGGCTGGAGAGTGGAAGTAGGGTCCCACTGACACTGACGCCTCGCCTTTCCTGACAGACACAAGCTCCTGAAGTGGTGGGCTCAGTCGTTCCTCCCGGGAGTCCCAAATGTTGTCGCTGGCTTCCGTACCCCGGAGGGTTTCGTCTGTTCCCTCAAGACCTTTCCCACCATGCAGATGTTTGAACATGTCAGGGTAAGGCAATGGTGTCACAGCACCCACTACCCGCCACACCAAGACCACAGGTCCGTTGTCCAGGGCTGCAGCTACACCTTCCTTGTCTCCTACCCTCACCCTCACTCGTCGCTGCCTTCTCCTCTGCCCTCTCCAGAATGACCGTGACGGCTGGAACCCCTCCGTATGCATGAACTTCTGTGCCGCTTTCCTTAGCTTTGCCCAGAATACAGTTGTCCAGGATGACCCCAGGTGAGGCATTCAGCTCTGCCCCCTCCCCTCTGGGTCCCAAAAGATCAGCCTCCAGCCCTCAACTAGTGACTCCATCTTCCCCTCAGGCTTGTCCACCTCTTCTCCTGGGAGCCTGGCAGCCCAGTCACAGTGTCTGTACACCGAGATGCACCCCATGCCTTCCTGCCCACGTGGTATGTGGAAGCCATGACCCAGGATCTCCTATCACCCCCCAAGACACCCTCCCCAAAGAACTGATGCTGCAGTGGGGGCTAGTCCTATCTCCGTGCATAGATAAAGGTCTATTTCTGTGTAGTTCTCTTTGCTGTGTCTTTTGAGCTGAATCAAACCTGCCCAGCATCTCAAGTACTCACAGGTGGCTTGCTGTTTTATTACTACATTTTTACATGGGGTCATTCACTGAGTATAGAGGCTGGCTGCAAAGACGATGTCCCTCCGTAGCAGGGTAGCAGCCGTTTCCATCTTGGCGCCTAGCACAGGCTCACCCACCAGGCGGGCCGCCCCCCGCAGCGAGCGACACATCTCCGCCAGGCGCTGGATGCAGCGGACCACCAGGCCCTCGGGGGTCCCCGAGAGCCCCGCCAACTCAGAGAAGGGCTGTGGGGGAAGCAGGGTGGGAACCGAATTTGATAAGCCTAGGCAGCCTCTCCCCAACCAGCCATCTGCAAAACCCCAAACCCCAGTTACTCACCATGCCCCGGGCCCACTCATACACCACCTCAACCAGACCAAAATTCAGCTCCCCTACAAATTCCTCCACGGTCTGATTCAGGCCACAAGCTTCCTGGATCTCACCAATCCGCTTGGCCACAGCCTGGACACGTTCCACTCCCTGCAGATGGGGAAGGAGAGGTTAAGACCCGCTTTCCTGCTCTAGGACGGGGGAGGCTCAGATCAAGGAAGAAGCCATTCCAGCACTTACAAGGCTGGAGAGGTCACTTGGAAAAACCTGGGGGTGGGGATTGGGAATGCTGCAGCCAGGAGAGGGAGAGAAGGGTGGAGGTGTCCCATACCTGTTTGAGGGTGCTTGGGAGCTGCTCCCCAGGGTCCCCGGGGCTCTGGAAGACCAGGCCAGAGAGCAGGGCCGCAATCTCCTCTGGCTGCAGGGCACTCAGAGCATTGTCGAACAGGAGCTCAGTGAGGAGCAACTCGTGGCTGCTCATGGCACAAGCCACCCGCCCCGCCAGCTTCACCGTGCCTGCCTCGTCCACGTAACCTAGGGTTCGGAGCACCTGGAAGAAAGGTTGTGGGTACTGGGAGCCTATGTCCTCTCCCTCATTAGTCCCGTCCCTCGCACTCGCTGTTCCCACCTCGACTCGCTGGTGGTACTCAGGGAGCAGCAGCAGCGACTGATCCGACAGCAGGAAACGCAGCCGCTCCATCTCCTTCTGTATCTGCATTCGCTCCCGCAGCTTCAGGTACTGCAGGAGCCACGGGCAGAGCCTGTTAGCTATCCCCTCGCCCTCAGCAAGGGGGCCTGAGGACCAGGGCTGACATGGGGGTGGACAGCCTACAGGGGACCAGAAGAAAACCCATCCTACAGCGTGGGACTGGCATCCAGGGCCCTACCTGGACAGGGAAACGGGGGCTATGCACGCACTGAGCCCCCCGGATCAGCTCCTCCAGCTTCCGGGCCCGAAGCCCCCCCTCAACCACCGACACATCCTTGAGCTTCAAATCGTTGACAGGGTCAAGGGTAGGGGGTCCTGCCGGGTAGGCCTGCGCCAGACGCAACAGTTCCTGGACAGCAGTGGTCACGGCGGCAATGGGTGGGTCCTTCCTGAGGAAGGAGCAGGTCTTAAGACTTCTCTTCCATAGGAGCCCCTCAGGCTGGGGGAGCCTCCCTGACCACACCTCCCTACTCCCCATTACGCGATCCCTCCCCAGGAAAAGGGCCTCCCTAGTAAGTCTGACTTGAATTTTGGTTGCTGCTTCTTGCTGAAGTCTTCCAAGATCTTCTCCCCATTCACCCGGAGCACTTTGGTGGTGATGGCAGCCACGTCTCCTGGCTGGAGCTTGGCCACAGTGTGGTCACAGGGCCCTGTGACAAGGGGAGAGCAGGGTCAGACCACGCTGTGAACCTAGGTGTCCGGCTTGCACTGCTATCGGGAACCTGGACCTCTGCCCCACTCTCACCTTCAGGCAGGAACAGCTTGAATCCCACAAGGTCATCCGGGTAGGGCACATCTGAGGAGGCCAACCCCCTCTCCTGTGGGTCCTCACACATGGGTTTATCGCACAAGACCAACGTTGTGAATACTCTGCTAGCGGAGTTCGAGGAGACCTAGGGGAGTTGGGGAGGCCAGGACAGGGCGATGTGAGGGGTGGACAGCAAAGGCAGGGACCAGGGCCCCACCCTCAGGCAGGGACCATGGAGCAGCCAGGCAGACCCCACCATATAGACTGGCAACCAAGTCAAGCAATCAGAGCAGACCGTGGGGCGGGGGTGGGGATCGTGGGGGCACAAAAGACAAGGTAGGCATGAAGTGGTGGCGATGGGAAGGATAGGAGGGCACGAGGGGAAAGAGAGCACTGGTGAGTGTAAGCTGCCCCCACCAAGTAGGGGAGACAGAGAGGGCTCGCTCCTCCCTCCCCCCTCTGGGGCCCAAATTCCCCTTGCTGTCACCTGCAGGATCACACCCAGTGCGTTGTGATACTCCTGATTCTGCACGACCACCACCCTTCCAGTGGCGAGGGATTTCAGCCCGTTCACAGACTCCACGACGAGTCGCTGAAGAGTGGGGATATACACAAAGGGGATAAGGGACAAAGGGTCATATGGACACTGGGATTAGGTTAAGGAGCACCCAGAGTGTCACATTCTCTTCCTTCCCGCCTCCATTTCCCTCGCCCCCCAACACTCATACCCACTCGCTCACCTGGATCAGGCTCCGGATCTCTGTCAGTTCTTCCGCCCACCTGTAATACTCGGGTAGGTCAGCAAGTTGGTCAGTCATGTCAGGCTCCTTCAAGGCCTCCAGCTTCTTGGTCAGCTCAGCCAGAGCCTGTTCGTGGGCCTGGACAGAAGGGGGAGTAGGTGCAAAACGAGAGTCTCCAGGCTCTGTCTGCCACGCCCCCACCTTCGCCCCAACTGTCTAGCTGCCCACCTCTTCCCGGCCTGGCTTCCCTTTGTCCAGCATCCTGCCTGGTATACTGGTCCCCCCAACCCCTCACCTCGCTGTCCTTGCGGGATGGAAACTCGGAGAAGCTCCTCTTCATCATGTCCTCCACCCTGAGGGCATCCACCCGCAGCAGGTTGAGGATCATGGTGTACGTGAGGCGGAACTGAGACTGCAGCTGGGACGGCTTCCCCTGGGCAGGGTGACAGAAGTCAGTGACATCAGGGTGAGACCTGCTGCTCCCCAGCCAGCCCTCTGGGGACTGGCTCTACCCCCAGCAGAGCTAGTCCCAGCTACACAACCACAGGACCCTAGACAAACAGCTTGCTCGCAAAATACAGGAGGGAAATTAAGTTAACAGACTCTCAATGGTCCTATCTATTGTAGCTCTGTATTCACAGTGGAAAAGACTAGAGGAGATGAGATCCAGTCTCATCCCTAGGTCTGCTCACTCCTACCTTGGATTCTCCCAGGCAAAAGAAAAAAAAGCAGAAAGAAAGGAGAGGGGAAGAGGGTTGGGAGAGAGGGTGCAGCAGGTCCCCAGAGCTGGGTGGGACCCTTCCAGCTCAGCCTCATGCGGCCCAGCTTACCATCATCATACGGTGCAGGTCCGCCATCTCGGGCACGCGGCCCTTGCAGAGCAGGATGACAGTGCCTGTGGGGTCCAGGCCCCTCCGGCCCGCCCGGCCTGCCATCTGCACATACTCCCCAGGGAGCAAGTCCCGGAAGGTGGAGCCGTCGTGCTTCCGCATAGAGTCAAACACTACGGTTCGGGCTGGCATATTTACACCCATGGCGAAGGTCTCTGTGGCAAACAAAACCTGGGATGGGGAAGAGAGGGTCATCAAAGGGCTACATACAGGTGCCTGCCTTACTCTGCAGCTAAGGTTAAGTAGTCTCCTGGCACGTCCCAAATGCTTAACCCACAGGATCCCATTAACTCTCCGGGCAAATCTATAGAGTAGGAACTACCATTTTCCTCATTTTATTTATTTAGCTACCTGTTTCTTTCCTTGTACCCCCATATCCCACTCCCATCCTCCTACTGTCAGTCATCCCAATGTTTTTAATAAGTGTCTTTTTGTGTGCATATGTTCCGGCACACAATGTTTTCTTTTATGCACGTGTAATTTACAATTCACATTGAAGGCAGTGATACATCTCCTGCCGTTTTCTCACTTCTTTTCCTCCACATAGAGTTTCCAACATCCATCCATGTTAACGTGGTTATACCTAATCCTTTGCTTCCAACTGCGGCAGGACACTCTGGGTGCATGCCCTACAGTTAACCTGCTTGCCCAGTGAAGGACACCTCAGTACCACCTGCCACAAGACGATAGCCAACAAAGGAAGAGCAGACATGTTCCCTCACGGACCAGAGTGAGACCTTCTTAGTGGTTTATATTCAGGAAAGGGATTCGGGGTCAGAGAGTATGTTATACTTATTTTTGCCTAAAAGGTGCCAGGGTGCACTCCAGACTGGCCACACCTATATGAGGGTTCCTCTAATCCTATACAGGCAGACCTCGCTTCATTCACTTCGTAGGTACTGCATTCTCATCAACATCAAGGCAAGACCCTTCACCAGCAAAAAGATTATAACTCTCTGAAAGCTCAGATGTTAGCATTGTTTAGCAGCAATAAAGTATTTTTTAATTAAAGTGTGTACATTGTTTTTAGACATAATGCTATTGCACACTTAATAGACTATGGTATAGTGTGAACATAACTTTTATATGCACTGGGAAACCAAAAACTCATGATTTGCTTTATTGCGATACTCACTTTACTGTGGTGGTCTGGCCCTGAACCCACAGTACCTCCGAGGTCTGCCTGTATGTAGTCTCCTTCGTCTTTGGCAACACTTGGCATTAGCCAGTTTCCTAAGTTTTACCAGTCTAATAACTATAGAGTCCTATCTCGTGAGTTTTCAATTTGCATTTTTCTGATGACGACTTATATGCTTGCTACCTTTTCGGATTTCTCGTCTGAAGACTAACTGTTCACATCTGGCACAGCCCCATTTTAAGATGTGAAACCTGAAGTTCAGGGAGATTAGGCAATCTGCCCAAGGCCCCACAGTGGAGCGTGGTGGGCAGCGTGCGTACCTTGACCAAGCCACGGCTGAAGAGCATCTCCACAATCTCCTTGAGGATGGGCAGGACGCCACTGTGG